GTGACCCATCTGACTTTGAAAGCCATTTTGCTATGATTTTGCATGTAATTGTGTCATTTACAGGGGTAAGGTTGTGCAGGAGAGTCTTATTAAGCTGGTGGAAGCGTGCAGTGACCCGTCGCATAGTGTGGACCGCTGGCTCAGTAAATTGGAGAACTCCAAATGGCTTTCTCATGTTCACAGTGCACTGTCCACTGCAGGCCTGGTGGTAGAGTGTGTGGAGAGGTGGGAAGATCTTTTACTTTGGTCTTTTAAAGGTGCACCACGAAATTCTGGGCTGTCTGTCGCCATCTGTGGTTCATACATAAAATTGCAGTTTTAGTGTAGTAGGCTTTCTGTAGTGACTCGGACAGAATAAGGCAAGAACACGGTTGACACATGTTTCAGTGTTCTGGCTTAAATAATTTCTAATGAAACATTAATGGCAAAACATCTGCACTGCACTTTAATTGTGGTTTCTTATTTACATTCTCTGTTCTATTATTTTGTTCATTGCTTTGTGTGACTAACAGATCAATACATTTTATGTATTGTATGTTGTGATGCTTTTTATGTCCGTTTTGGTTGACCAGCATATCTCTGAAATAGTTTCTATTCAAATTTGGTGTAGCATTCATCAAAAGTCACTGAATAATTTAATAATGTAGGATAGTCTTTAACTGATTTCAACAATTATTTTAGCTTTCTTGAATGCCTTCTGGTTGATATACTTACATTTTCTTTATATTACATTTACAATGTATACACTACAGTTCTAAAGTTTAGGGTTAGTAAGATTTTACAAGTTTTTTGAAAGAAGTCTCTTATGCACACAAAGTCTACTGTATATTTGATCAAAAATAGAGTAAAAACGGTAATATTATTACAATTTAAAATAACTCTTATTTTTTAATACAATTTAAAATATAATTTATTCTTGTGATGGCAAAGCTGAATTTTCAGAAATCATTGTAATATGCTTATTTGTTGCTCAAGAAACATTTATTATTATTATCAACATTGAGAACAGTTGTGCTGATTAATATTTTTATGGAAACTGAGATGCAAATATTAGTTCTACCGCATTACTCTCAGATGTACTGGTTTAGGCTTTTTTTCACCCTGTGCTTACACATGGCTTTGAGATGTATTTTTCTGGCGTGCCGTCTGTTTTTGAAGGGTGGTCACTGCAGGCCCATGCATGGGTTTGAGATGTATTGCTCTGGTCTGTGGTCTGTTTTTTGCAGGGATGGTCACTCTGTGCTTGTGCATGGCTCTGAAGGGACAGACAACACGCTGCTGGTGAGCTCATTGACTCAGCTTATCATAGACCCTGCCTCTAGAACTGTCACTGGCTTCCTCTGCCTGCTAGAGAGGGAATGGATACAGGTGAATGTGTGATTGTGTGACATAATGTGCGATTAGGTGTGTCGTGTGTGTGTGTGTGGTGAATTTTGTTAAAGCTTATGAATGCATTACAACTAAAAAGAACTTGGTTACTAAACTACTATACCTAATATTAGTCTCAGATCTGTTTGTGAGAAAGTTGATGAGTTGCATGCTTGTTTCTCAGGCTGGACACCCATTCCAGCAGCGCTGTGCTCATTCGGCGTACTCTCATGCCCGTCTGAAGCAGGAGTGCCCGTCCTTCCTGCTGCTGCTTGACTGTGTGTGGCAGGTGTGGCGGCAATTTCCTCTGGCACTGGAGTTTAGTGAGGCCCTGCTGCTCCGACTGGCACAAGAGGTTTATGCTTCTAACTATGGAACCTTCCTGTGTAACAGCGAGCAGGAGAGGTGGGCACAAATTACCCTTATATGACACTCATTACACATTACCATTTAAAAGTTCAAAATGATTTTCAATTTTTTTTTTTTTAAATCTCTAATGTGTACCAAAGCTGTATTTATTTGATCAAAAATACGTACAACAGTAATATTGTAAAATATTACAATTAAATTAGCTGTGCTCTGTTTTAATATATTTTAAAAACTAATTTATTCCTGTGATACACTAGCCTTCAGTGTTCCCTGTTGAAAAAACCAGCATATGCTGGTTAGGTATGTTTTGAAGCATGGCTGCTGGTTTGGGCTGGTTTAAGCTGGTCATGTGCTGGTCTTAAGCTGATCCTGAGCAGGAGATAGGTGCTTAGGACCAGCACATGACCAGTTAAGGACCAGCTTAAACCAGCCCAAACCAGCAGCCATGCTTCAAAACATACTTAACCAGCATATGCTGTTTTTTTCAACAGGCTTTCATGATCCTTTAGAACTTGTTCTAATATGCTGTTTTGTTGCTTAAGAAACATTTCATGTTATCAGTGCTGAAAACAATTGTGCTGCTTAATATTTTTGTGGAAAATGTATTACATGTTTATTCTCTAACAGAGTCAAAGTCTTTACTGTCACTTTTGATTAATATAACACCTTGCAGAAAAATATTAATAAATAATATTAAATATTATTACCTTGATATATTTAATATCGACTGAGTAAGGCCATGTCAAAGATTGAAATCATAGTGAAATTAATGTTTGAAATGATCTCATAATTAGATTTTGAGACTTTAGCCTGGATTTCACAGAGAGGGTCTATTTTAAAATGTATAAAATTGATTTCTTTATTTTTATTTTTGCCTGAGCTAGATGTGCTGCAGGAGTGAAGGAGAACACACACTGTTTGTTTCAGTCCCTGTTGAAGCCTGATATTGAAGAGCAGTACCTCAACCCACTGTATGAACCCACTGATTTGGCCATTTGGCCCTCAGTACATCCACAGTCCTTACAGCTATGGACAGGTGAGTTACTGTTGCAATGTGACAAAATGATTGCAAGTTAAGAATGTAAGATAAATTATTGAAATTTCTTGGTATTATTGGTATGTAAAGTCAGCTTTACTGATTTTAAGCAAAAGAAAAAAACATATACTTCCATCTTTAATGTCCTCATTATCCTTGTATTGTATTTGGGTAGGGATGTTCCTCAGGTGGACTGAGTATGCTCAGAACATGGAGGAAGCGCGAGAAGAGGTGTGGAGCATTGTGAAAGAGCACCGTGAGCGAGCTGGACCCGACCGGACCAATAACACGCTTAGTACACACTGACACCTTGACCCCGTTTGAGAACCTCATGGATGAGCTGACTATCTTGTGACCTCATGGTTGAAAAGATGTTGTAGAGCCTGTTACTACTATGTGTTTCTTTGCAAGAAGTTTGTATCACTGCCAATCAGATATACCGGCATTTAAAGAGCTTTTAGATGTTATGTCATTTACGATAGCCATCATTGAATAATAATCAGACAAAACGGGCATTACGGCCTTCTGTCTGAACTTCAAGCAAAATGCTAAACAGTAAACAGTCTCAAATAGGGGAAAATGTAGGTTTGTTGTATTGTGTTTGAGTAGTTTGTTATTGAAATTTACTGTGGTTACATGAGACAGCATCAGTCATGATGTTTTACACTGTTACAGACAGCTGAATGTTAAATATTAAAGGGGTCATATGATGTTGCTAAAAAGAACATTATTTTGTGTATTTGGTGTAATGAAATGTTTATATAAAACCATTGCATTTGTGATCTGAGAAATGACAAACAACAAGCGCTACTCTACACTGCTCAAAACTCTTGTTTGAATCATCAGTGGCAAATCCTTTAAATGAATCTGTGAGTCAGAACAGCCGGCATTGTAGTCTACTCTCCCAAGATCAGGAAACAGTCCTCCATAAAATGCGCTGCACACATCTTAATATTTGGGTTGAGCTGTTCTGGAACAGTGTTGTAAATACAACTTAACCACTGATTTCTAGTTGTGTCCTCTTTTGGAAGGCCAAACAAAGTATTTTAGCTTTCGCAACGAAACACACAGCGTCTTCACAACATGGCGGCGGCGGCAGCAACAATAAAGTTATGCCTTCGTTCTTTGCGTGAACATTTGGGCGGCATTATGCAAATCTTCCCACACAGTGATGTAGACATGTGGGGGCATGTTTAAATGAGCTGGTTTTGGAGGGCGTGGACAAGTCTTAACTTTTATAAAGAATATCTCTTTGGGTTTGAGACTAGTCTTTGCAACTTTACAGATCTTATCTATTCACGAACAGCTTGTAACACTCCAAAGAGAAAGGAAAACTTGAAATCGCATTATATGACCCCTTTAAATGGGGTGAATGTGAGAAGTTTGAGGACCTACTAGAAGGTGCTTTTAAACATGTTTGACAAGTTACAAACCACATTTGCAATTGGAACATGGTTTATAATTAATTATTGCACATCTCTCTGGAATACTTGATTCTGATTGGTTAATTGCCAGATTTAGCGTTAAAAGGGTTAGTTCACCCAAAAAAGAATATTCTGTCATGACAGAATTTTCATTTTTGGGTGAACTAGCTCATCATGGAAAACAGAGGATTTAAACTCAAATCAATATTTCATATCCATGTATTTATTTCTTTGTTAAGTAGCCTATAAGCTGGATCATGTACAGTGGTCATACTCAGGAAATAAACCCTTTCGAGGTGATACAACATTACTGTAGGCTACATAATTCTTGCTAACTTGATGCTTCGGAGCAGGATCAGAAATTGAACTGGGGCACAAGAAAATAATGTCACCATTTCTATAGACAGGCATTCAAAATGTGCTGCTCATGTAACGAATTCCCCTTTAATCTGTTCCCATTTATACAGTAATGAATTGTATAATCTAACATGGGGGCCTGTCAGTTATTTTTAAATTATTATCAATAAATATTAAAATATGTCCAAGCAGAGTGTTGTATTTGATTTTGAATTAATTTTAGATTTATATTCATTTTACGAACATAATTTTCCTATTCAGAGATTATATTATATTAAATTATTTGACATGTTTGACATTGTATTAAAATACTTAATATTTCACTGTAAAACGTGGTCATTAGCGCACACACAAACAATAACATTTCACTGGCCAATGAAGTCCTCAGGGTAAATCCCCAGCTCAGCTAAACTCACCCACACAATATAAATCCGGAGTGGGCAGCCCGTCAGCAAGTTTGCCCTCTTGTAGCGTTCACGCGACCGTACGTGCTAGTATAAAGGTAAAACTACATTTCCCAGCATTCTCTGCTCCGGCAGCTTCTTTATCCAATGGTCATTCGATGCGCTCCTCTGACAACCAATCGGACAGTAATCTCTTAATTCTAACGGTTAAATACCATGAAAATCCCACTTACCAGCACTATTTACTTACTTAATTTTCCACCTCCGGATACACAACAGTAATGTTGTGATTTTGATGCAAGACACGTGTTTCACATAGTCACGGATTTCAAGTTTTGACACGCTCAAGGTGAGATAATGCGCTTTTTCTTGAACTACTGATTTACTTAATGTTCGTGTATCAGTCAACTAACTTTTAAGGATGAAATAACGACTTGGCCGTCATAGCGCAAACTAAAAAGAAAAAAGTACAAAGTTGTTTTTATGCATTCTTTCTGAACCGTTCATTCGGTTAACTGATATGTTTATTAACTGACAGATGCTGTCAGGTGTCCGGTTGTGTGTCCGCTCGTTGTGTAGAGGTTGGTCGGTTCGCGGCATGAGTTTATCGCCGCGTCAGATCAACCGATGGCCGAGCAACGAGTCCTCCGAGCCTCCTGCGGACAGTCCTCGAGTCCTCATCACAGGTGCCTTCTGTTTCTCAGCTGCTTAAATAACGTGTGACAACCTGTAGTGTTTGGGTGGAAATAGTATTAGTTGCATCATGTCTTCTGTGTTTGTTTTCCGAGCCTCGTAAGAGACAATCCTATTGATCGCAATGACAATAGGTCGGGAATAAACAGTGTTAAAAGCGCTCCGCGTGCGCACAATGGAGCGCGCGGCTGTTTTATGCTTGTGCAACAGAGTGAGTAAATGGACTGTCAGTCGAAGTGGAGCTGAAAAATGTCTGGACAATAACAATCACAGAGCTTATTTAAATTTGACTTGGGCCTGTTTTTGAAACAGCTCTACTCATTTGCATGTGCACTGATTTGCCATCCCACATGCATCAGTCTAATAATAGTCACTGAAATATAAACTCTATTTTAGTGGTCTACTGGAGTTGATCACACATTATATGGTATTATGATTTCTTTTGTTGTGCATTTACTGTACCTCCGACCTCCAGTTTATGCATTTTCATTAAAAAAAAAAAGAATTTTCATTCATATTTAGATTTTATTCAGCTTGGTGCTCTGTTGTGTCATTGTGAGTGGTGAAGTTTCTGGTTGTAAAATGTGTGTTTAAGCTTCTTTCATTGTTGAAAGTGTTGTTCTCCTGTTAAAGGTGGCCTGGGACAGCTTGGAGTTGGACTAGCTGAAATGCTGAGGTTAGTGAACAGCTGAAAGATGTGCTGCATGGGAGAAATTTGAAATCAGACTCCAGAACGCAGTTTTTACATCTTTGCATAGACTGGATATTTGCCTTGTCTTTGCATAGATGTTTGCTGTGCATATGAAACCTTTTTTTAATCTTCTGAGGTAGATTATTTATAATTCTGTAAAAACCAAATAGCATTTAACTTTTTCTGTTGTTTCGTTTGATTTGTAATCATATTCAATTCCTTTTACATCAGGAAGCAGTATGGAAAGGAAAACATCATCCTGTCAGACATTAGGAGGCCTCCCGCTGAAGTTTATAGCATGGGTATGTTGACACTGAGACAGATATACAGCTGTGATATGGGTAGGTGGTTGCATCAGTTGCAACATATATAGAGCCACATGCAGTGTGGTGCCATAAACTGGCTATTAAAGTTTACAGTAGGAGTGTTTTTTTAATCACGTGGCTTATATTTCAATTTCACTTATATTTCAATTTCAGTAACAATAAGGTAACATTGGTTAATGAAATTGCCAACATTAAAAACAATAAAAAAAATAATTGATTAACCTTTAGTACAATTAATTTCTACATACTCTACTGTTCAATTTTTTTTTCTTTTTTAAAGTAAATGTATACTTTTTTATGGAGCAAGGATGTTTTAAATTGATCAAATCAATTTAAAGAGGATAATTTGACACTGAAGACTGGAGTAATGGCTGCTGAAAATCTCAATTTTTAATTTTTTACAGTGTACTTCGAACATTAATGAGCAATAGTATGTTTATGAATTAACATGAATGTACTAACCTGTATTAACTTAGAATCATGCTGTAAATGTTGTACAATTTATTAGTTCCTAATGTTAATTAATTGAACCTTATTTTTAAGGTAAAGTATTACCTACATTTCAATCACTTAGCCTCATTTATATTTTGAAGTAGCCTATATGAATAAAGCTCTCATTTAACCTCCAGCTTCTGATGGGTGATCCTCCTTACAGGTCCGTTTGTATACGCTGACGTGCTGGACTATAAAAACCTGAGGGAGCTAGTTGTGAATAACAGAATCAGCTGGCTGGTGCATTACAGTGCATTACTCAGTGCTATCGGGGAAGCTAACTTGGCTCTTGCCCGCACCATCAATATCACAGGTGGGAAAACTCAGTCACACATGTTTTATGTGTTTGTGACTACCTAATTTACAACGTAAGGTTTCCACTATCCCTGACGTCCCACATTCTGTCCTTCTCCTGTTGCCCCTATCCCGATCTTTTCTTCTCCTTCCCCCACTCCTCTTTCTTCAGGACTGCATAATGTGTTAGATCTGGCTCTGGAGAACTGCTTGCGACTGTTTGTACCCAGTACCATAGGAGCTTTCGGCCCTTCATCTCCCCGTTACCCAGCACCTGACCTCTGTATCCAGAGACCTCGCACCATTTATGGGGTTTCCAAAGTCCATGCAGAGCTGATGGGGGAAGTAAAGATTTATGTTTTTTATGTTCTAGTTGGTCTGGGGAAATTAGTAATACATATTATATGCTTTAAGATTTTTTTGTTGTTGTTTTTGAAAGAAGTCAGTGTTGAAAACAAGTTTAGCTGCTTTATAGTTTTTATGAAAACTGTGATAAATTTTTTCATAATTATTTGATGAATAGAAAGTTCAGCGAACAGCATTTATTTTGAAGCATTCATTTCTTTTTCTTTTTTAATTTCATTTACCCAAACGTTTAAAAGACAGTGGATCATGGTTTCCACAAAAGTATTACCAAAGTATCTAATGAATACATTATATTTTAAAATATATTAGAATAGAAAACAGTTATTTTAAATTGTAATAATATTTCACAATGTTAAATGCAGCCTCTATGATCGTATACACTACCAGTCAAAAGTTTTTGAACAGTAAGATTTTAATGTTCTTTAAAAAATTATCTTCTGCTCACCAAGCCTGCATTTATTTGATCCAAAATACAGCAAAATCAGTAATATTGTGAAATATTTTTACTAATTAAAACAACTGCTTTCTATTTGAATACATTTTAAAATGTAATTTATTCCTGTTATCAAAGCTGAATTTTCAGCATCATTACTCCAGTCTTCAGTGTCACATGATCCTTCAGAAATCTTTCTAATATGCTGATTTGCTGGTGCAAAAATTGTACAAAAGATTGCTATTTCAGATAAATGCTGTTCTTCTGAACTGTCTATTCATCAAAGAAACCTGAAAACATTATACTCAGCTGTTTTCAGCATAATAATAATCAGAAATGTTTGTTGAGCAGCAAATCAGCATATTAGAATGATTTCTGAAGATCATGTGACACT